ACCTGTGGGGCCTGCTCACCTGTGGGGCCTGCTCAACTGCTGGGGCCTGCTCACCTGTGGGGCCTGCTCACCTGTGGGGCCTGTGCACCTGCTGGGGCCTGCTTACCTGTGGGGCCTGCTCACCTGCTGGGGCCTGCTCACCTGCTGTGCCCCCATCCCTCCTCCAGCAGTTCTACCCCTCTTGGCCCTCGCTGTGCCCAACAGCCATTCTAGGTCCCCCAAAGGCTCCACATTCAGAGCACCTTCCCTCTGGAGATGTCACCAGACACCTGCTCTGCGAGCTGCAATTGTAGACTCCGTTGTCCCCATCCCAGCTGGTGTTCCTGTGCTTCCCATGGCTCCTCAGACCACAAAGCCCTTCCTTCCTGCTCTGCCCACCCCTCTCTACCTTTCTTCCACCGACACCCCCAAAACAACAGCATCCCCTGCCTGCTCCACAGACCGCAGTCCCCCCAAACCCAGCTTAATGCAGGAGGGGCCTGGCCCTCTTCTTCATGGGTGCATGGCCCCTGGGGGGTGGGAGGGCCCCCCAGATCATCCTGTGTCTGAGAGGCTAGCGGGTGCCCTTCCAGGCCAGTAGATAAAAAGGTGCACAGGGACAGGGCCCAGGGCTGCCCCCAGATAGCTTCTCAGCGGCCAGACCCAGAGCCCGGCAGCTGGCCAGCCTTTCTGACCCCCATTTCACCAGACACAAAAGGGGAGTGACGCCTGTTTCCTCCCCCCTACTCCCTTTCCACGAGGGACTTCAGCTAGCTGTCACCTTCATCCCACCCACCTCCACCTGCACAGGAAAAGCCCTATGTCTCTCCATGAGTCCTGGCTCCCCCAGCTTCCCCTGCCCCTGCTGCAGCACCCCTCCTACTTACAGGTCGAAGCGAAGATTCTGCTTCTCCTCGAAGAAGTAATCCACAATGAACTTGCGCACGAAGTCCGGGTTCAGTGTGTTGTCGATGACCTCGGTGCGCCCAAACTGCAAGAGAAGGTGATCACTTGTCCCCTCAGATCACAGGACCCAGGTGGGAGCTCTGCCACCTCCATGCCTGTCTCCTCTTCCTCCACCCAGGCTCCACCCCTGACCCCACAACCCTTCCCCACCTTCTCCCAGCCTCCTCTAACAATGATGATGCCCCTGGCCTCCAACGCCATTTCTGAAGCCACTTCTGGGGGAGCTGGGAAGCCCACCCTGACCTGCTGACCTCCCTCAAGGTGACCAAGGCCCCAGCAGCACCTTCATGGCAGCCTGGGGCCTGAGCCAGAGGCCCAGCGAGGCCGTACCAGATCCTGACCCTGCTGCTGCAGCTGCAGTTCTGGACCGTCTATGCCTCAGCCCGGATGACCAATGCTGACACCGGCTGAACAGGTACTCGCATCTGGAGTCATGGCTCAACACACGCTCAATACTAAATCCCAAGACATTCCCCAAAGGATTCCAGGAAGTCACGCTCCACCTCTGGGGCCCTCTGGGATTTCAGGCATGCACCACGAGGCCAGGCATCAACCCATTTCTCCTACAACTGTTTCTAAACCAGACGGTGTGCTTGGTACTGAGCTACACATAAACAGAGCAAGGTCGCATCCCCTGAAGAGTCCTCTCCTCGGGGGTACAGCTCAGAAACAGGCAGACACAGGTGAGACCAGGCACGTTCGGGGTGGTACAACAAGTAGACACAGACGGCTAACGGCGCCCACGGAGTGCACACAGAGGTACTAGGCAGGGTCTCTGCCCTGGACTGCAGGGGAGAACTCAACCTCCGGGAATTGTGAAGGTGAAGAAATGACGGAGCCAACGGTGGACACTGAGCATCCTGTGTTGGATCTGAAATGTGCCCTCGAGGGCTCGTGTGTCCTAAGGCATTGCTGCAGAAGGTGCAGCTAGGACCCCACGGGCTCTGCCTTCATTGATGATCTCAGAACCTGATGGCATTATTTGGAGGGCATGGAAACAGGCAGGCCTAGGTGAGGGACGTGGGGAAGGGGATCCGACCTCGGGCATGTGTCTTGGCCCCAACCTGCTCCTCTGCTCCTTCCCCTTTCTGTCTGCTTCCTGGGCCACTCACTGCAAGGCCAGCAGCTCCCCTGCACCACCCCCTGCGGCCTGCCCGAGGCCTGCGGAGCCAGCCAGCCATGGACCAGTTCCTCCAGAACCATGAGCCAGAACAAAGCTTCCCTGCGCCAAGCCAGCCTCCCGGGCATGTCGTCCCACCAAGGCGAAGTTAGCAACACACCGCGTGTCCTCCCTAACGCGTTGATGCAGCCACCTGGCTCCACAGTGGCCTGCAACTGTTGCCATCTTCCAGCTCCTCCTTAACTCTGGAAAGTGTGCAGCAATTCTCGCTCACAGAGATGCAAGTGTGTTCCGTACCAGGGAATGCAACGCAATATTACACCATCGACATCAACACATCTAGGGATAACTTTATTTCTGAATTCACAACTGCCTGTAAGTGTGCATCGTTTAAGTTATTTCAACTGGAAGGCTGGTGAGACAGCTCAGTGGACTAAGCACCTGCTTTTAGGCAAGCACGGGGACCAGGGTTCGATCCCTGGCACCACATACCACAACAGCCCTGCCCCTGGGAGCAATGAGCAACACACCAAGACAGGGCGTGGTGGTGCACACCTGTAATCCCAGCGCCAGGGAGGCTGAAAACAGGAGGATCACTATGAGTCCGAGCTGAGTAGTGAGACCCTGTACCAAATACATAAAATAATAATAGTAAAAGTATTTCAACTGATTCTAAAATCATAATGGTCTTTTTTTTTTTTTTTTTTTTCAAAACAGGGGATTGAATTCAGACCCTTGCGCTTGCCAGGCAAGCACTTATTCTATTGAGCCATCTCCCCAGCCCCAGGACTCCTTATTTGTTAACAAGTTAAATAAATTTTATCATAGGATCATTTGACATTTGTATAGGAGTCAGAGTTTGTCTTTTTAGGAAATTATTTAACAGCTTTAAAAAAAAAATACTTGGGGCTGGGGCAATAGTTCAGTGGCATAAGTGCCTACCTGGCATGCGCAAAGTCCTAACTTTGATCCCTGGTACCAAAAAAAAAAAAAAAAAAAAAAAGTGCTTAACTAAAACAACAATACTTATGCCATAACAAAATTATGCTTGCTGAGCATGGTAGCGTGTGCCTGTAATCCCAGCAGTCGGGAGGCTGAGGCAGGAGGATCGATGCAAAGTCTGGTCTACACAGACAGTTCAAGGCCGGCATGGACTACGTAGCAAGACCCTTTCTTAAAAAGACAGAAGCAACAACAGTGAAAAAGAACTGACGCTCAACCCCACTACAGAGATGAATTAAATCCAGAACTCAGTGGGTGAGGCCTGAACAGCCATGCTTCTTTAACGTCGACTAGGTGCTTCTGCTGAGCAGAAGGAGTGGAGAACTAACTAGGAGTGAAGGAGGCTACAACATGATGAATGAAGAACACATTTACTGAGCAACTGCGGAACATTCCGGAGAGCAGATGAATGGCTGAGCTATCTTACTCAATTCCTTTGAAAATCCTGAGGATTACTGCCCACGTCACATGTGAGGAGACAGAGGCAGCAAGGGTAAGAGACTCGCCCAAGGTCACACAGCAGGGCACCCCGGGGCCCAGCCCTTCTGTACTTCACAAAGACCACGTTCGCTTGCTTCACCAACACTTACACTCAGCCCACCGTGTGCAAGGCATGGGGGAGGTAATCCTGTCTCACCCCTAAACGCCATCACAGTCCTGCACAGTGTCACCCTTTTCCACCAGTCCCTGCATTTGCCTCCAATTAGAAATTAAGAATTCTTAACAGCACCTGTCTTCAGACAGAAGAGAATTTCTCCTAATGGCTTTCTAGCGGAATATTCCAGGTAAACACCCAGGATTCAGACCCTCCCCTCCCCCTCCTCCAGCAAGAACCGCGGGTGGCAGGGCTGGAGCGACATCCCTTGCCACCCCCTCCCACTGCAGCCCGGCCCAGCTCCACCTAAAGCTGTCAGGGTGCTCCTTCTAAAATGGCACTTGAAGCTTTGTTCGGCACAAGGGAATTCTCTGGGGTCGCATCTGCCTGGGAAGAAGAAGGGGTTCCCCTGGAAACGGGCCGGGCAGGGAGCTCCGAGCGCCCCCTGAGCACGCAAGAGGAATGAACGCAAGCGCAGCAATGACTGCCAAACCCACAGGCTGGGGACTCCTGGAGATGTTCTATGGCCTCCTTACTTGCACTCATGACGAAGGCGAAAAACGCTAGAAGGCGTTTTTAAATCTCAGAAGCCACCAGGTGGTCCCTGTCAAGCCCTACTGGAACACCTATTAATGATGGCAGGGATGCAACTGAATGGATGCTAAGAAAAATGCTCGCTTTGGCCACTGCACTTCACTTTCCGTGGAATTAGTTTCAGACCAGAAGGGACTTGGAGCGGGGACAGCTCAGGACCCGAGCTGAGCAGGGCACAGGGCTCCATCCAACTGCCCTGCAGGAGGCAGATCTTGTCTGGGAACAAGGGGCGGTGTCCACCCCTCACCACCTGGACCCTGGACCAGAGCCCAGCCTGCCCACCACCCAGCTGTACCTGCCAGCGCCTGGGAAGTGCCTGTCGCTCCTTCCTGGGTCCCGTTAGACCCTAGGAGGGGTCTGCTTGGCTTGCACTGTGGGGCACAGACACCAGGCGCCCCCGGGCTCTCCCAGGGATTCTGAATGCAGAGCTGACACAAGGAACCCAAAGAATTACTAGAGAAGGTGGAGGTGGGGGTTCCTGGGGAGGAGGCTGAGTAGGAGATGGGAAGTGAAGGGGGGCCCCCAAGCCTAAGAGCAGAAACAAGCTGCTGAGGGAAGGGGGCACAAAAGGACAAGGAGCTCAGGAATGCATCTGTTTCCCCTCAAAAGAATGGCTTCTCCCTGGCAACAAAACCCAGAGGAGAAAGCTGACACGCCACAAAAGAGGCTCCAGTGGGTTCTGAAACCTCTATGACTAAGCCCCAAGAATATCAATTAAGCAGCATTAATTACACATCATCAGCTCCAGGGAGACCCTCGGAGGGGAGGCAGGAATTAAGTAGCGACCAGGGACTCTGCTCAACCCAAGAGCTGGCATTGACAGGGCCAAGAGGGCAGCTGGTAGACCAAACACCCTCCGGACACCAGCAAGACCAGGGTGGAAAATCCAGGCCAGGCAGTAAGGACCCCTGGCCCGCATTGCCCCTGGGAGGCCAGAGGGAGCACCTGGGACATCAGCTTCCTGACCCCAACGTAGGTCCTGGGGACGGCACAGGGCCAGTCCACTTGTGCTGCCCCTCACTGCGGAGGGTGGCTTCCTCCCAACAACCTAGCCTGGTCCCCTGCCCTCAGGTTACCGTTGGGTTACTGCTGGTCCCCTCTGCCAGGGGAGACATTCTCAAGTTTCTCCCAAGTCCTGCTGGGCCCCACAACTCCAACTACAGCTCTGCAAGAACAGCTCCCAGCTGCTGTGAGTCCCTGGGGGCCATGGGTCCCTGTGGGTTTCCTCCATCTCTCCCCCGCCTTGAAAAGAAATCCCACATCAAAGTCTCCCCACCTTAAGCATCTGAGTAGGATCCTTTCCTGTGGGGTTCTGACGGATGTACTGCCTTCCCCACAAACATCTGCATACCACCAATTCCCAGCTCGCCCGACTGCAAACAAACCAAGCACAGAACCTGCCCCGACCTCATTCTGCTCAGATCCACTGTGTGACACGCACATCACCATGAAAGTGTGACAGTCCTCTGGGACGGAGGGTCCCAGCACTGCTGTCCCCCTAGCCCCTGCCTCTAAGGGCCTCAGTGGGTGGGGACAATGGGGACATCTCCATTCCCCTATACTGGTGGCAGCTAAAAGGGCACAGGAGCCAGATGGGAGGTCTCCAGGCCTTAGAGGAGGTTGTAACACCCTGAAACTGGCCACAACCAAGTGCCAACATGCTCCTGGGAGGAGCCATGGTCCTGCCCAGCCTTTCAGAGAACCAGTCTTCAAA